TCAGCACACTAAGCACGTGGATGTGAGGCCAGCCTGCGCTGAGGTCAGTGGTGAGAGTAAGCTGTTAGCACAGTCAAAGTCATGTGAAATAATTCTATTAAAAGCGTCACCGACCAGTAGCGGACCCTTAATGAACAAGGCCCAGCCTTTCCTGTTAGTGAGGGGCTGGAGGCTGACCGATCTCTCCGCCTGTCTCCTCGAGTCAGCCAGTCGGGGGCTGACCTGTTTCCAGTCCTGTTTTGGGGACCCCCCCCCCCCGGCTCACACCGGTGTCCGTCGCCGACCTCTGCCCTGTTCGGTGTTGCTGTGCCTGGGCATGGAGACAGCTGGCTGGCTCGGGCAGGGCTGCGCCTGGAGCTCTGTGTGCCTTCAGACCTTCGGAGCCCTAATGCTGGGAGGAATTCGGAACATGCTGATCAGCAATTAAGCGCCCGGGCCTCGTAACTCAAAGCCCCGACTTTCCCTCCTGCCTCTTTCTCTTCCCTCCAGGCATCCGTGTTAATTATTACTGCTATTAATAGGAAGTCATTGAGCTGATGCTTCAAGAAAACAACTTGCGGAGCCTGGGGTGCTGGTTGGCTGGAGCACCTGTTTCGCAATGACGTCTTTCAGGACAGAGTAGTCCTCCTAACAGCAGTAATATGGCGATGATGATGATGATGATGACGACGATGGACTGTGCTTGTGTAGCACTTTTCATCCCACTGGATCCCGGAGTTTTCACAGGCAGCTTTACCCAGCCCCAGCTGTCCCACGGCTGTATTCCTAAAATAAGGAGCGCTGTGCCTGATTTTCAGTCACGGGGGTGTGATCGCGGCCAGCTGCGTCCCAGCCCGAGTCCCAACGGGGTGACGGGGTCGGGGGGCTGGGAGGGGAATAGTGTCTGCCTCAAAAATCAAGGGGGATCTTTAGGTGGGGGTCAGATGTTATTATTCCAGAGTGGAATTTAGCCAGTACTCTGGGATTAACACCCTGGAATCTTTACTGACCAGGTAGCCAAGCTGGCGAAAAGAAGGCACCTCTACGCAGCGCACAGTCCACAGGCCTGTCACCGTGTAGTGGCATCGGCGTAGGCGTAGCGCCCCCTGCAGGTCCTTCAGCACCTTGAGCGGTGTGAGCCAGACCTGGCCTCGCTGAGCTCCTGCAGTGCGACAGGATCAGTTTTCTTCATGCTGTGAGAAATTCACAAGCCCCCCCAATGCCTGGACGGACCAGTTTCTCAGTCCTGGGGCCACAGGGCGGGCAAGGAGCTGGACCAGGGTGATGGGCACTGAGCTGGCGTCTTAAACGAACCAGTTAATTGGCTTGGGAGCCGAAACGCGTGGAGGAGCCATCCGGTAGAAATGAGAATGAATAGCCAGTGCAGATAGCGATCTGCTCACACCCTGCAGGAGACCGGGGCATGATCGCACCGCATGGCTAAGGGCTATCAATCCGAGTAATCCGTCTCCTTGGCTGCGGTCACGGAGCGGCTGCGGTAAATTACTGCATTCGGCCTTCAAGTGAAGAATTGATCAGGCAGCCATGTTTTAAAAGGAGGAGAAGAAACTGGAAGGCAGGGAGCTTGCAGGATTTAGGTTCCATCGCGTTGTTTCAGTACAGACGTGATGGCTTTATTGGGACACCATTGTGCGCTGGGATCTTGGGGGGCTGCCAACTGTGGGTATAAATACTTTGGGTCCTGTAGACTGTAAACACAGCTCATTAGTCGGTGTATACGAAAGACTCTTCATAAGTGCAGTGGGTATAGACGGGCTTTATTAACACAGCTTCTCAAGTGGGATCTGTGCCGAAGCTTGTGGAGTACAAGCGTGCAGCTGGCCCATCGGCGCTGGGGCTGTGCTGGTATAATAATAATTTTATAATTGCTTACACTTATATAGCGCTTTTCTGGACACTCCACTCAAAGCACTTTACAGGTAATGGAGTCTCCCCTCCACCACCACCAGTGTGCAGCCCCACCTGGATGATGTGAGTGCAGCCATAGTGCGCCAGAACGCTCCCCACACATCAGATATCAGTGGGGAGGAGAGCAGAGTGATGAAGCCAGTTCATAGATGGGGATTATTAGGAGACCATGATTGGTAAGGGCCAATGGGAAATGTGGCCAGGACGCCGGGGTTACACCCCTACTCTTTTTTTGAGAAACACCCTGGGATTTTTAATGACCACAGAGAGTCAGGACCTCGGTTTTACGTCT